AATTTGTTGATTCAGCTTGACTTCATTGGCTCTTGAGAAATACACCCATCCAGCTGGGATTAAATTATAATTAACCTTATTCCTTAATCATGATTAGTCTCATGTGGATTCTAATGAGTCACATGGCTCCCTACTACTATTCCTAGCCTACTTTCCTTCGTTTACAATTGATTTTTGGGCCTTTTTTTGGATAATTTTGGGTAATTTCTATACCTGATCTTTAGACTCTATACTTTCACGTCCATAACCTCTATATATGGGATATCCATCATAAAAAATTTTTAATTCATTTCCTTCATTTGCTTGTACAAAATAAACTTCCATTCTGGGTGTTTTTAGGGGTATTTTAGTCATTTTTTATAATTTTATTTATTTTCTATTTTTGGATATTTATAGGCCTCTTATAATTCATATAAAACTATTTTAGATAGTCTAAAAATATTAAATAGATTTTTGAATATTTATCTTTATATATTACTTTATTTTTTACCGATCAGAACCACTTCAATAAATTTTACTAAAAAAAATTTTAATTCTCAAATCTATATGTACTATTTATTTCTAATGCAATGAGATTAACATAATTCAATAATCATTTATAAAATAAGAAAAAATTTAGAGTGTTACAAATGAGATGATAGTGAGAAATAATTATTGAAAATAGGGACATTTTAGAACATGAATGGTTGGGTGCATGCTTCTTTCATAGAATCTGGTCCTTGTATCACTTGAGTATAGCTTCAGGTGGATGCTCATTTGCAACGAGAATTAGGAAATTTTAGTCTTGTGTTGCATGCGGTTGCATACCTTCGTTTTGACATTTTGTGGGTTGTATCCTATTTGAATTTTGGTGTAGTAAATTTTTGCATGTCCCTAAGAGCTATTGATTTGGGCTTATAAGAATGGGAACTACGAAGCTAATATTCACGTGAAAAGGGTTGAAAGGGTGTAGTTGGTCTCAATTTTTTATTTTTGCTCAAATACTAGTCATTCTCTTATCCATTTTGATCAAGCAGCCGAGAAAAAGAATGGTCTCTGCCATGTGGCCCTTGGATTTTGTATGCATGGTATAAACGTTCTTGCAATTTTTTATCCTCCAAGTTGTATCGAGAAAGAGTTTCAGAAATAGAGGCTTGAACTTTGAGAATGACAATGTAAGTTGTATTCTTCTTTCTTACTAATAAAACTTAAAACAATAATTAGAGACTTCATTTTTTTTTTAATGGAAAAATGAGATGTTACATTTTACCAATCCCTAAATCTGAAAAAGATCTTACACTACTTTTTCCTTTTATTTCTGAACAAACAAAACTTCTCATTAGTAATTTAATCCCTCCTGATATGGTTAGTGGGTATACTACCCCTAATGGATTTTTTTCCTTAAACTACCTATAAGCTAATTTCAAAACCTAAAATTTCAATTTCAACTAATTTTGGCTTGTTTTCTGCAATTTAGAAAGTGGCATGGGCCTCTTAGAATTAAGATGTTTTTTTGAAAAATTGATTAACAGATGAGAAAAAAGAATAAATGACTTTTTAGCATCTAATATCTACACTAGATGTTATAGAGACCATGAATCTATTATGCTTGCTCTTCTTTAGAAATCTAGAATAGTTGGCATTGGTTTATAAAATCTAGTGTTCATTCTTTAGCATTGGTTTAGATAGTTGGCTTTACTTCAATTTGAATAATTTGTTTTTTGATTATTTCAATAATTAGAACATTCAATTTGATTTTACAATATGGCTTCTTTTGTAAAATAGCAATGACTGGATTTTTAACAATAGAAATCTTTACCAAGAATTTATTTGGAATTTATTATCAGTCCAAAATTATGTTAATTCTATTAAATTTGAAGTAGATTTTTGTTCCTTTTTTTCTCACAAGACTTGCAAACAGAAACTCCTAATTCGTTGGTCTCCTCCTCAAATCAGCCAGTTCAAATTAAATGCTCCTAGTTGGTTGGTCTCCTCTTCAAATCAGCAAGTTCAAATTAAATGTTGATGGCTCAGTTTGCTACAACAAAAATTAGCATCTTGTGAGGAATTAAATAGAAATGTCATCAACGCATTTTTTAAGCTGCTTTTGCGAAAAAATTTGAGTCTTTGCTATGCTCTTAAGGATGAAACAGGCCATGGCAGGTCAGGTCAGGCTTTACTTTAAATAACATAATTATTAAACCTAAGTCTGGCCTAATATCTGTTAAAAGTTTTATTTTCAGTCTGACCTGACCTGGTCTGAAAACTGTTAACAAAGCCTGTTACAAAAAAAAAATTCTTAATATTAATGAAAATATAAATATTTTATTATCAAATTAGTTTACATATTTTTTTACTTTTCATCTATGTTATTGATAATTATTAAATAAATATAATAATTTTTAAAATATTATTTGAACACTAATTATAAATGTTTCATATTAAATAAATTTTTATTTATATTTTTTATTTATTTTTTATAAATTATTAAATTATTACAGATTTTAATTTTTTTAGATCATATTTTATTTGTTTAAAGACATCTTATATTTAATAAATAAAGTCATAATAAACACATAAAATTAATCACAAAAAATAACATTTACACAATTTATTAAATCAGCTGAAAGAAAATTATTATATTTTAAAAAATAAATAAATTTAAATTCAATAAAATGTATACATATATATATATAATAACAATAATAACAACTATTAAATTAAAATAAAAATAAAATAATTACAAAATATTTAATTTTATTTATTTCATTAATTTTTTATTTTCAATTAACAAATACAGGTCAAATTAACAACACTATAACATTAATATAATATAAAAAAATATTACTAATACAATAAATTAAAATATATACTTATATATAAAATATAAATTGATAAATTATCTAATAATTTAATTTTTTATTTATGTAAATATTTATAAATTATTGAATTTTAAATATATGTTAATAACTATAATTAAGTATTAAAGATTTTAATTATTTTTAATAATAATTATATTTTGTTTGTGTAAAGATATCTTATATTTAATAAATAAAATCACAATAAATATATAAAATTGATAACAAAAAATAATACTTACAAAATTTGTTAAATCAGTTAAAAAAATATTATATTTAAAAAATTAAATAAATAGTTATTGTAAAAATTATAGATAAAAAATATTTATATTATAAAATTTAAGAATGCAGAAAAATAACATATGAACATAGTAAGAGTTAATAAAATTTATATTTAAATTAAAATAACTTATATTTATAAACTTTTATCTTAATTAAAAAATGTGATAAAACTTTATATATATATATATAATGACAATAATAATAACTATTAAATTAAAAATAATTATAAAATATTTAATTTTATTTATTTTATTAATTTTTATTTTAAATTAACAAATATACATAAAATTAACTACATTATGACATTAATATAATATAAAAATATTACTAATACAATATATTAAAATATATATATATATTATAAATTAATAAATTAATTAATAATTTAATTTTTATTTATTCGTTTTTTTAAAATATTTATTAATTATTAAATTTTAAATGTATATTAATAACTATATTTTTTTTTAAAATCTATTTATATTTATGTCAAATTCATGAAAATAATTATTTAAAATTTAACATATTTATATTTACGTATGTTGATGTGTAGCTGGTATATAAAATTTTTTTATAAATATTTTACTCAAAAAATTTATACTAATAAAAATAAAATACATATTAAGTTACAAAAAGTATATATTATTATATATAATTTATTTAAAATTATATTATTTAAATTATTTATTATATGATTCTATTATTTATATATATATATATATATATATATAGTATATAAAAAAATTTATTTTATTTTTTTATTATATTTTTATAAAATTTTAATTTCGAATAAAATATAATTTATATTTAAATAATTTTTATTTATTATAAAAAAATAATTAAACATAAATATTAATAAAATAATTAAATAATAATAATAAAATTAAAAATATAAAAAAATATATTAATATAATATTATTATTTCATTTTTTAATTTTATTTCATTCAGTTTTGATTGCGTTTTGTTCCTGTTTAAAGATTTAATCACTTTTTAATTTATTTAAATGTAACAAATATGATAATTTATTATTTAAAAATGTAATTGTGTATAAATATTTTTAATTTTTAATAAAATATAATTTCTATTTATTATAATTATAAATAAAAAATAATTATAACATAATATATTAATTTAATATAACAAAATTAAAAATATATTATTAAATATCTTTATTAATTAAACATATTTTGACAGCTGTATTTTTAAATTATATATATATATATATAGGTTAGCATGTCAGACTTAACAGACTTCGAAAATAACTCAGCCTAGTTTGTTTACTTAAACAGAGCTTAAAAAAAATCTAAACCTTATTTGTTTATTAAAAAAGTTAAGTTTAAACCAAACTAGACTGTAGGCCCCTATTACACGACCTGACCTATTTTCATTCCTATCTGCTCTCCATGCAAAATTTTGTGCTATCCTTATTAGTCTTCAACTTATGCATAAGCTTGCCTAATATGGAATAGTTGTAGAACTTACTCCAAAATAACAATCCAGACGATTAGTTATAATATCCCTAATAATCATATATTATCAATTTAGTTTCGGTCATATAGAAAGACTAATTATTGTGCTAATTTGGTTACTAACTGTGCTCATAATAACCAGGATAAAGATTGTTGGTTAACCAGCCCTAGCTAGTTCCTCTACTTAGAAAATTATGGTATTTGTTTTCCCAATTAATCAGCTAGGTTTGTATGTTGTTTTGAGCCTTTAGGGTCCACTTATATGTATAAAGATATATAGAATTTCGCAATTAAAAGGCAGTGTTAAAACTTTTCGTTGACAAACAAAAAAGTTTACACTTTTCTACATGTCAAAATAAAACACACCACCAGATTTATCGATAAACTGAAATGTTTATATAATAGCATAAGTCAACTGTCAATTTTTTCTTAATATCAAAGAAGATTTAGTGCAAGTTCAATAACATTATGTGAAATGACCATCTCAAGTTAAATGAGAACTGGACATTGTCATATGTTCAGCTCAAATTTCCTCGTCAAAGATCATTAGCAACTTATAAAAATATTGTTGATATTGGTCCATGCGGCGATATCAACCTTCAAAACCTTGTAGCAGACTATTCCCTCACTGACATTGATCTTACAAAGCGTCCAATGGATAACTGGTATAACATAAGGAAACCTCCTTTCATTAGAAACGCATTTTAAAAAGATTCCAAGAATCAACTCAAACTGACAACAATGAATACCTCATAGTTCAATATCTGGAACACCCAATAAGAAAGAACTTGAATCATTAGATCCAAGGAGTGGAATATACTCTGATCCTCTTACATGAACACTAAAGCAAGCTACATAAAGAACATGCGTTAGATTGTATATATGAGATCTTAATATCCACTCTCTCACACACTTTCACTTGGGTGGGAAGGGGAGAAAAAGCTTTCAATTGGATTTTCAATACAAAAGTAGAACATTTTATAATCAACATTTTATATTGCTGTCACAGGGGTTTATCATGGGTTCTTCTGACTCTTTGGGAAAAGAAAGTGTCACCAGGACATTATCTGAGTAGAGTATGTAGGTAGGAATTTCCATAACAATCATCCATTTATCATCGTATCTAAATATGACTTGTTTAGAAGAAAAAACGATTTTAGGCCTACATATAATTCTGAAAGGATACATTTTAATAGAGAAATAAAATTCTAATGTGCAAGGGTCTTAAATCAGGAACATAAGAAAATAATCTCTTGAAACAATGGAAAACTAGTACATAAATTTAAGACGAAATGCAATATCTTTCCATTTCATTCGCTAGATAAATTATTTTATTCATGACGCCAGTAAGGTTTTATTTAAGCATCAAAATTAACAGATAGATCTTGCAAACTGTATTTCAAAAGCCAAAACATTACCGATCTCTATTTTCATGACACTTTGAAGCATTATATCCATCTTTGTTTTCATATCAGAACTGTCATCCATATTTGGCACTACAAGTGTAAGCTCCCGGTATATATCACGCACAAATCTGCATATCTTTTCAGCAAATTCAAGTTCACCATCTGATATCCTACCTATTGCCAAACGCATTAGCTCTCCAGTCAAATCTGCAACCTGTAAAAGAATACTAAGCACCTTTTAGAGAAGAAGAGGGAGAAAAAAATAGGAAGGTCATTTAACCACCTTAAACTTTACCTCTTTAGCAAATAGACATCTTGAACTTCTATTTCATCCAAATTGATCCTTAAACTCTGCATAACATTTTAGTGGCTCATCCTGTTAAGTTAGGGTTGGATTATTAATCGAGAAGAAATCTTGATTGTTTATCAAGCTTATTTTTAAATCTATAATTTTTTAACTTTTCCACAATAAAAAGTAGAAAAGATAAAAATATAAAGCTGTGGTTTCAGATTCAATCAAAAGATTCAAAACAACCAAAACCTAAGTCATCCTCTCAAGAACAAGAACTGGTGAAGGGCACCACGATTGCTGCCAACTCCAACCCCAACAACGGTGCTTGCACTGTCGGCAGCAATTGTGTCAAGGGTTCATGCATAGAGGCACCAAAATAATGCCACACTCTTGATGTTGGTGGGCCAACACTGGCCACACAAGTCATGTCATCTCTGGTGGTGAAACCAATTAAGGCATTACATGCTGCACAATCCCTTCAGCCCCCATTGAGGACAAGATCATAATCAACGCACACTATGTTCACGGAAATAGGCATGCCACCATCAAATGCCTCCTCTGTAGCTGCACCAATAACACCATCATGAATCATTGGAACTTCACGTTCTGCCACCATTGCATTGCACAGAAGTCCCCGACCACTGTCTCAATGGTGTCCAACCCCCTGGTCCCCATGGCAAGGCACCCGTTGGCCCTTGTGATGCCCTTCTAACACATGCCTATGACTGTCTATCGTACCCTGTCCATGACCCTTTCAAGAAGGTATGCATGGAGGTGGTTTTGATTGTTTTGACAAAGAACAATAGTGATCGAATGAAGGAAGGGGAATTGGCAAGTCCATGATGACATCATTGAGCCTTTTAAAAGGAACAGAACAAGACATAGCAACAACAAAGCCAGTGTGAATATGGATAATCAGAAAAACTTTATGCAGAAAATGCAGCACATGATAGAAGAGAATGGTAATTGATGCCTTTGCAGGGGAAATTTTTTTATCATTTCTTTTGCATTTTAGAAAAGTTAAAAAATAAGGGAAAAATTGATTTAAAAAGTAAATAGATAAATGGTTGGTACTTCTAAAATAAATCAGTGCTTGAATTTTTTTTTCCACTAGTAATTTAAGTTATTTAACCCCAACTTAACAGAAGGGGCTATTCACATATGTAGAATTTAAGGATCAATTGGGACAAAATTGAAGCTCAAGGAATGTATTTGCAAAATTGGTAAAGTCAGAGGGGTTAAATAGTTTGTTGCCACAAAATTAAGTTCTATACCCCTAATAGGTAGTCAAGGATATTTATTTGCAGAGGCTGAAGACATGAATCACTAAGTGGTAACAATATTTTGTGTATCTCATCAAGCGTCAAAAGAGTTCCACTTTTACAGAAACTACAGAATGTAGCTGCTTCAACATACTCCTGTATCTGCAAACACCAAGACATCAGAGAAAAGTATTTGAACTAAACAAAGAATAAACGTGAATTATACCCCAGGGGAGTATGCTCGTCTTAGCTTCCAAAAATCAGTTCCCTGCAATTCTTTAACTAGTCGCGACATGTACTGATCTGTCACAGCAGCTAAATCCTTTTCTGCTTTCTCAAGGACTTCCACTTTATTATATTTGCTCATCCTTGTTAAGAAATTAGAATATGGGTAATGTCATCAAGATCAGGAAGATGAAGATCACATGTATGTAATAATAAATCATTAGCCATCAGGAGTACAATTTGGACTCCTATTTCTTTTATTTCACCTTTTTTATTAAAAAAAATATATAGTCATTAGGTTAGAAAGGTCTTCTTAACTCAAATTTGCACATTCTATTCACATTTAAAATACATAGGGGATTTTGAGGTATGATCACATGTAAGACAACTAATTAAACAGATAATGCATAATAGAGGACAACTTATCACAGTAAAGACCATGAAATCAATATATTTGAGTAAGTAAGCTGAACCAAGTAACATTCTCAAGAGCATGTAGAGGGAGTATGTGTGTGTGGGTGTGGGGGCGGGGGGGAGGGGAGAGATGTGTAACCTGTGCACTTGAAATATGACTTTTTTGCTATTCATTGTTACATCACGGCTGGCTTTGACCACTCTTTCCCGTTTGTCATTCTACAAATACAAGTTTACAAAGAATATATAAAGGAGGAAGCCTGTAGTGAATTCTAAAAATGCTGCATGAATTGTGAAACACTAATCAGACAAAGTATGTATAACAATTCAGTAAAATAACATTCAAGAGAAGACTCTTGTCAGATAACCCCAATTAGTAGTTAGTTAAATTAAGTTTACTTAGTTACCCATTAGTTAGTTATGTTAGTGAGTTAGTTAGTTATATGTGCTAGTCTGAATAAGGCATGTTTTCTATAATAAGAGGGGAGATTAGGCAGAAATGTCATGTGATTGTGACAGGAAATCAGGGCCTTTTGTCATCAGGAGGTGCAGACACAGCCGGATGAGAGGAAACCTTCACGTCCGATTTTGAAGGGGGGAGATCCTATTGGATTGGATCCTGTCCAAATTTTTCGTTTGCTAGGCCCGTAGTTAAAAAACCCACTTTCTTACGATTACGAGATCCATTCGAATATGAAATACAATCCTGGAAACACAGCATACCTATTTTTTTTTTCAGAGTTCTAGTGTGTGTATTCTGTTTTGTGAATTACAGAGTTCTTTCACCATTTTTTCTAATAAAAATACCACGTTTCTATCAACTAGGACCAGAGCCCTGATCTTGGAGCTGTGGGTGTTAAATCTTGAAGATAATTCCAGAATTTAAATGAAAAGAAGCCTATTGGTGGCTGATTAATGTGGAGCCACAATGACGTCACTGCAATACTTGAGGAAGAAAAGATACACAAGGTTGGAAAGGCTATGTAAGGGTGTGTGATAGCAGACCATTAATAAGCAAGTGTACATTAAAAGGATTAGGAGAGGAGTAGGGGTTTAGAACCCAAATCAGTTAGTTGGAGGTAGTTAGTGAGAAATTGTATATAGAAGGGAATATGATAGGAAAGAGGGCAGGGAAAAGGAACAGGACTATTGTAGGGTCAGGGAGAGTCCAGGGTACCCTGTGAACCTTGTAGCATTTTACTGTCTCTTGGTCACCTTCATCAGGAAGCATTCTTGTGAATAATACAATCAGTTTGTTCTGTTTTCCATCTATATCAATCCAGTTCTATCAACTGGTATCAAAGCTCTACTTTCCTAGGCACAAGAAGGGAGGGTCGAGTAGAAGCACTACAGAGAGAGGAGTTAATCGGAATAATGGCAACAAGGAGACAAAGAAAGCGAAAGTCATTCACTAACGGAAGCATGCATTCGCAACACCAAAAACAATGTACAAGAAATTTTATGGAGGCTGGGAGAGATTCAAGCTTACACCACAATTCAAATATGGATGCCAGAAGTGATAACAGGGGTGGAGATGAGGACATTGCAGAGAAGAATGATAGGTAGAGAAAACTTGAAATCCCAATTTTTAAGGCAGAAGATGCATATGGTTGGGTTAACAAGATCAAAAGGTATATTCAGTTACATGGGATACTAGAAGGAGACCGTGTGTCAGAGATCATGGTTGCATTAGAATGAAGGGTATTAATGTGGTTTCAATGGTGGGAATCTTGTTTTGGAAATTGAACAGTTTCAGCAAGTAATCATTCGGCAATTCCAACCCTCAATGATGCAAAATCCATATGAAATCCTATTAGGGTTAAAACAAGAGGACACCATGCAACAATTTGAGATATGTGCGGGACCTCTTAGATCACAAAATAAGAATATTTTGAAGGGTATTTGTCTGAATGGTCGCAACGAAGAGGTGAGAACAGAATTGAAGTTACATTCAATGGGATCCCTGGCAGAGATGGACATGGCACAGCTAATCAATGAAAAAAATCAGGTAATCTTGAGGAAAGGAAGTGTTGGGATTACAGGAGGAGCAAAATAGAAGACCAATGATAAGGTATGTGAAACTGAATGTAAAAAGTATGTATTGAATTGGCTCAGTTGAGCAGAGATACAGCAATGGAAAGAGAGCTTTATAGTGGCTCAACATCCTAATTCTGAATTAATTTCCAAGATACCTTTTCCATCTGTAATTCTCCCCTATTTAAACTATTCTGTTTCCTAATTTTGCTCCTAACTACTGTAAACAGAAAACAATAACAATAACAAAAGATAAATCTAAACTATAACAGAATATAACAGCAAAAGATAAATCCTAAACTATAGCAGAATATAACTGCCTACTTCCTAATTCCTCTCCTATAGTTTTTCCACTTATAAACCTTTAGTCCCTATGAAAACTTGTCTCTAACAATACTCCCCCCCTGAACAACCACCTTGTCCTCAAGGTGAAATTCGGGAAATTCGATTTGGATATCTTCTGCCACCTCCCAAGTGCTCTCATGATCTGGCAAACCCTTCCATTTGATCAGCACTTCTTTGTCTCCTTGGTTGGTAGTCCACACAGCCAGCACTTCCATAGGTTGAACCATCAATTCCCAGTTCTCGTTCAGGCTGGTTGGTAAAGGTTGACTTTGGACGTCTGCTGCCACACATTTTTTGAGCAAGGAAACATGAAAAACAGGGTGTATTCTTGCTTCTACTGGTAGTTCTAGCCTATAGGCAACCTCGCCGATTTTCTCCAATACCCTGTAAGGACCATAATATCGAGGGATGAGCTTTTGATTAGTTTCTGAAGCTAGGGACCTCATCCTATAAGGCTGGATTTTTAAGTAAGCCATCTCTCCCACTGCTAGCTCTAATTCTCTCTTCTTCTTGTTAGCTTGTGCTCTCATTCGATCCTAGGGCTTTGGTCAGCTGCGCCTTCAATTCTCTAAGTATTTGATCTCTGTCGGCCAAAGCAATGTTGACTTCCTCCACTGCTGATGCGCCATCTTCTCCCCGAATGATAGCCGGTGGATCTCTCCCATATAATGCTTTGAAAGGAGTAGTTCCTGTCGAACTGTGGAATGTGGTGTTAAACCACAGCTCTGCCCAGCTCAACCACCAAGCCCAATGTTTAGGTTTAGTGCTGGAAAAACACCTCAGATACGTCTCTAAGCACCTATTAATTACTTTTGTTTGGCAGTCAGTTTGGGGATGGTAAGCCGTACTGAACCGAAGTTGAGTCCCTGCTGTTCTAAATAATTCTTTCCAGAAAGAGCTCATGAATACTCTATCTCTGTCTGAGACAACTGAAACTGGAAACCCATGCAACTTAACAATCTCTTTGACGAAAATTTCAGCCACATCCTTGGCAGTGTAAGGATGAGTTAGACCAATGAAATGACTGTACTTGATCAATCTGTCGACCACCACTATGATGGTATCCCAGCCCTGTGACTTAGGGAGTCTCCCGATGAAATCCATGGAGATATCATCCCAAACCTGTTGGGGAATTGGTAAAGGTTGTAATAGTCCTGCTGGACTTAAGGTTTGGTACTTGTTCCAGTTGCAAGTATCACAAGCCACTACATACTCTCGAATGAACTTCCGCATTCCTTTCCACCAAACTAAATTGGCAATCCTCTTGTAGGTTCTGAAAAATCCTGAGTGGCCGCCTACAGCTGAATCATGAAACTCCTGAAGTATCAAAGGGATTCGAGGAGATTTCTTAGGAAGGACCAGCTTCCCTCTATAAAAGAGTCGCCCATGCTCATAGTCGCTAACTGAGGTTTCCCCTTGTATCATTTTCTGTATTATACTAGCCAGCCTCTCATCCTGTTGAACCTCGTCTTCTAGACCTGCCCATTTCGAGAAGGTAACCATGGAAAGGGCTGCCAATAGAAGCCTACGAGAGAGGGCATTCGCGACCCTGTTTTCCTTCCCTGCCTTGTATTTGATTTCAAAGTCAAAGCCCATGAGTTTAGATATCCACCCTTGCTGCCCTTCCCCTAGTACGCGCTGGTCAATTAAGAATTTTAGGGACTTTTGGTCTGTATGCACTATGAATTTCCTTCCAAATAAGTAATGCCTCCATCTCTGAACCGCAAGAGCAATTGCCATTAATTCCCTCTCATAAACCGATTTCATTTGGTTTCTATTTGAAAGGGTGTGACTCCAAAAGGCAATAGGCCTTCCCTCCTGCATCAAAACGGCCCCCAATCCAGTCCCCGATGCATCTGTTTCTAACACAAATTCTTTGTTAAAACAGGGGGTTGCTAGCACCGGTAAGGAAGTCATGGCCCTCTTCAAAAATTCAAAAGCTGATTGGACTTCTAAGCTCTAGAAAAATCCGTCCTTCTTCAATAGTTGGGTGAGAGGCCAAGCTATCTTCCCATAGCCTTTCACAAATCTTCTATAGTAACCTGTTAATCCCAAAAATCCCCTCAATCCTTTAACATTCTGGGGTGCTGGCCAGTTAGTTACTGCTTCAATCTTCTTGGGATCCGCCTCCACACGCTCCTTAGATATAAGATGACCCAGGTATTCTAACTTGACAACCATAAAGCAACATTTCTTTTTGTTGATGTACAACTAATTTTGCCTTAATAGCTCCAGTACATCCCTTACTTGTCTCAAATGCTCTTCCTCTGTCCAGCTGTAGATTAAAATGTCATTAAAAAAAACTAAGGTAAACCTCCGTAAGAAAGGTCGAAGCACTTGATTCATTAGTGATTGAAATGTGGACAGGACATTGGTTAACCCAAAGGGCATCACCAAAAATTCATAATGTCCCTCGTGTGTTCGGAATGTTGTCTTCTCAATGTCCGCTTCCTTCATCCTAACCTGGTGATAACCAGATTTTAGGTCCAACTTAGTAAATATCCGGGCTTCACCAAGTTCGTCCAGCAACTCCTCAATGACCAGAATGGGAAACTTGTCTGGCCTAGTAATGGTATTCAAAACTCGATAGTCAACACAAAACCTCCATCCTCCCTCCTTCTTCTTTACTAGCAATTTTGGGCTGGAATATGGGCTAATACTGGGCCTGATGATGCCAGCCTCCAACATCTCATCCACTAACTTTTCAATCTCATTTTTTTGCGAGTGAGGATAACGATAAGGTCTGATATTCGGAAGCTCCTTCTTTTAGGACTATGGCGTGGTCGTAGTCCCTCACAGGGGGAAGCCCCTTGGGCACTGCGCTTATATCGTCAAACTCT